GTAGAATGAAATTATCTGTGACATGCCGGCATTTTTCTTCTTCATATTTGCTTTACTTAACATGCACACCACATACGTATTGATTTCATGATTGTGATAAACCATACCTGTTTGGTTTTGGATCAACATGGAGAGGAAAAGACCTGCAGCACTAAAATTAGCTTTTTGTTCGAGGAAAATGCTAAAGGCTCTACTGCATCCCAGTACTAGCCAAGATTGTTAAAACTCTGACCAATATCAGTTAGCAATTTGTGTTTTTGTTTTCAACTATTGTGTTAATGAGTAGTGAGCAACATCAAGACTGTTCAAAATAAACTGTGCTTATCTGATATCACCAAGTCAATAAGAGTTCAAGGTCAATGTTAGAGTTTTTTTTCCCCAGAATAAATGCTTGGGTTAGGTCTAGGTTTAGAATAAGGGCTAGAGTTTGCTGTGGTTGGGGTTTGGACCAGTTGGGGCGGGTCCCGGTTCAAAAGGGTCCATGAGCATGTGCGCTGACTCTTTCCCGGTGGTACTGTACCCGGAAACAGAATTATCCAATGTACTTTTTTCCCCTCAAAAAAGGCTCTTTGGACCCAACCAGATGCTGTCAATGCTGAGGGGAGTATTTTATATGGGACCCGTCTAGTTTAGCCGCTGTGGACTCTTGAATGCCAGGTAACGCATGTGCAAATGTGTTTTTTCACATTTTCCTGCGAGAGGGGCTGCTCGAGGCCGGAGAGAGGCGCAACTACGTCCGTTAATAATTACACTGTATTCGGACTTGGGTTAGGTTAAGGGTTACAGTTAGGGTTAGAGTCCAGGATCAAGTTAAACATTTTGGACACTTGAAGGTAAGGCAAGGCAAGTTTATTTATATATCACAATTCATACACAAGGCAATTCAAAGTGCTGAACAAAATAAGAAAGCATTAAAATCATAAATAATCACAGAACATTAAAAGGAAAGATAAAAATATAAAATCCCTCAGTTGTATGCACAGCTAAACAGAACTGTCTTTAACCTGGTTTTAAACATTGTCAGAGAGGAGGCCTGTCTCACATCTTCAGGAAGACTGTTCCAGATTTTAGCAGCATGAATCTGAAAAGCAGCCTCCCCATGTTTAGTTCTGAGTCCGGGCACTAACAGGAGTCCAGTCCCTGTGCTCCTCAGAGTCCGGGCTGGGTAAATGGGAGGATTTTCTTCTTCCGTGTGGATCATCTAAAATATTGGTCCTCCTAACTGTCAATCATTCTGGTGTTATGCGATACACGTTTTAAAAGGCGTTTCCTCCTATAAACCTTTAATTACTTGGCCATATAAGATCATGCACAATATTCTGCCACAGTCAGTATTATAGATTACAACATATCAGACAAAAGCACATGTCTTTTTAAAGTACTTTCTTTCATTGAAATATTTTTCATTTTCCAATATTGTAAAGGCGTGATCAGCATTTATCTGATTTCAAATTTGTAGAACTCAAATCAATAAAACCACAACACATGTGAGCCAGGCTTCTTTGCACACTAGAAATTGAGATGATGAGAAATAAAACGTAATGGTAAAAAGGTCACCTTGGCTATTTATTGCCCACGTGTTGTGTTACCCTGTAGCTTGTAAAGTGAATTCAATGATGGGAGCGTTTGCAGACGGGTGCGGGCAGATGTCAGAGGAGGAGATCGGCACGTTATTGACATAGCTACCATTTTAGCTCCTCTTTTCATCCCAGACTCCGGATCTGGGCAAGCATCCCCGCCACTTTGTAATCCGAGCCAGATGATGGGTCTCCACTGCAGCCACAGAGACACAAAACACTTGAAATAACACGGGCCACTGCACACACATTAACATACATGTCATCTGCCACAGCCTTCCATATCAGTTGCTGTCCCAAATCTGCCCACATATTATTTTACTTGACCTCATGAGAAGATGAAGGGCAGCGGTTTTGGGGTCTCACACCAAAAATGGCTGCCTGTCATGCAAAAAGAGGCTCCCACCCACAGTCTTGGATGATTTATGACCAATATGACACACAATCAGCAGTGTCTTTGTGCTTAAACCGCCCAGAAAGAATTATGTAACACGCCCGAGATATCTTAGATCTATGAGAAATAATAAAACTGATCCTCTGCTCTGGTCTGTATTGAATATGTCTGTTTTAGCTGTGACATCAGGGAAAGCTTCTCCAAAACAACTTGATGCATGATGGGTTTTGTTTGCCTGTGAATAAAACTGAAGGATTTTCTCTCTCCTCTTTTTAAAACACTGTGGTTCATTTTCATTTGAATCTTTTGTGTGATTTCAATGTTGATGATTTATGCAATGATTTATGTCTGAGCCTTTTGTGTTGCCCTGTAAGGCACAAGTGTCAAAGTCAAGATCCGGCCCAGTGGCCCTTGAGATGATTTTAAATGATTATATTGAATAGCAGCATTGACGATAAACAATTACTGTAACCACAGTTGCCCTGGGGCAGACTGACAGAAGGGAGGCACCCAGTAAAGAGCCATCAGTGCCTCTGACCATCAACATCATTCAAGCACACACCAGACTCATAGGCAATGTGGGTGAAGTGTCTTGCCTAAGGACACAACAATTGCATGGCACATTACAGTCACAGCCGCCCTAATGTGGCACCTGGTGTCCCAAGAAGTCTCCCATCACAGTATTAACCAGGCCCTGTCCTGCATAGCTTCTAAGATTTGCTGGGATCAAGCTTTCATATTGAGGTGGCGCTACCTTTTCATTTCACAAAAACTGGGTCTTAATTTTTATAAAATTGTTGCAAAATATGGACACGTTTTTATCCATTATTAATACAAGTTGAATTAGATTTTTTTACGCTGTTCATGCTGTTGTTGTGGTAGACACTTTGGTGTGTGAGAGGTCAGAGGGATTGAGAATAATTACGATATTTCCACCAGGCTTTTTCCCTTCTGTCCGTTGCTGGGTTGTGAGCGCAGGAGTCTAATACCCAGACTTCCTTATTCAGACACGTTCCCAGGTCATCTGCACGTAGTCCCTCCACCACGGCCTAGGTCGTCCCTGTAGTCTCCTCAAAGTGGGACAGACGCTTCGATGGCAGCTGCAGCTTCAGTCATTTTTGAACCAGACGGCCTACCAAAGAACCCCCAAATGACACCTTAACATGGTAGTACGTCTTCTCCAGATCCACAAAGCACATGAGCACCTGACAAAAGTTAACCCACTGAAGCTCTCATCTTTCTTAAACTTTCAATACATAAATATTTGTTTAGATCAGCGGTGATGATCAACTATGACTCCTTGTACCTTGTAAATAAAATCATGTCTTTGGTCAAATTTATCAAGCTCTTTGACCAGTTTGACCAGCTTTTCATAAAACAGTAGCCGTCTCCGTGCTTCCTCAAACTCACCTTCAGTATTCGCACTGACCTGAGGTGGCCTGTATTGTGTCTAATATCCTCCTCGTTATGGCACTATCCAGTTGAAACGCACCGGGTTTGTGTTGGTCCCATGACTTGTCACATTCCTCTGGAGGTCTCTGTGAGGTCTCCTGGTCCCTCTGTCCCACATCAGAGCGGGACAAGGGGGAGAGAGGGGGGTTTAGGTGAGGCCTGATCCCAAACACAGATTGCACCCTCAGTCCCAGGATGGTGGTCCGACTACTGGCTTCAAGGACTTCTAAAGCACCAAGTTTATTGGGACAGCCAGCAGGTTTCAGATATGGATGAAGAAAACACTGCAGCTGTTCAAATGCACAAACTTGGAGCCAGGGGCGTAGCTAGAGTCGTCGCCAATTGCCTGGGGCCCCCAAAAAAGAAGGGTCCCTTATAGACACCGATTGACGCAGCAAACAATTGAAGCTCTACTGGTGTCAACTTTAAACACAGGGAAGGCACAGGGAAGCCAGAGATGTATTTTTGATGCGTAATATTGGGGTAAAATTAATGAATTACCAGCTAAAATACCATGCTAACGTAAACAAAAATGTTAATATTATAAAAATGTTTGGCGCTCATATTTTCTGTGATTTCCGACACATTTAGTGCTGTAACATCTGCTATGTATAGTATCAGTATAACTAGTAATAGTAGTTTTTGAGTTAAGTCTCAAATGTACATTAGATGGAAAGGTTTTGGTACCACAATGAGAACATGACACTCCACCAGGAAAGTTGTAGCTTTAAATATACGTATGATGTTCAAAAATGTATGTTATTCTCTAAATACAGCTATGAGTTTTTTTGGCTAACAAAAATTAGAATTCCAGAATGTTTCATAATTAATGTCAATACTATTTAGGCTGCATATAACCCATAAAGTCAGAGTGCAGAAGGATTCCGGCAGGTTGCAGGCAGTATAAGTAGCATATCTCCCTCTTAACATATTTATGAGGTGATATATCTTTTTAATGGCTTGTTCACTTGGCCCTATGAGAAGAACAATGCCATTTTTGGATCTGTTCTAAGCTCTATACAATTTAATTACTTGATAAATTCCTCTAAGAACCAACTTTAGGAGCAGTAAAATTGGCACATAAATCAGTTTTAATGCAACCTATAAAAAGATGTTATTGCTTATAAATTGTTCCCGTTCGTCATTGCTGCCGGCCAGGTTTGTTTGAGGGCTCCTGGGTGGTAATGTCTCAAAGAAGAAATGAAATGATTGTTGTAATTATAGCTTACAGTGAGTGCAAATCCAAATATATTAAAAGAGTATTTATAACTTGTTCTTTGTAATTAGGCTCCATGCCCTGACACTTTTGTGTTAATGCAAAATATTATCATTAATTACTGTCAGAAGAGCAGCAGAACCTCCTTCGCTCGCAGCAATCGCAGAATCAAAGTAAAGGATATTTTGAGATCTGACCCGCAGGTGTAGCTGGAGTTGAAATTCTTTTAAATCCTGGGCCGTGTTTTTGTTGAAAGTGTCTAATTGTAGATTGTGTGTCTGATTGTAATCATCATCGCGCAGAATAAGTGCCACTCCACGTCTTTCATTTGTTTCGATGTTGAAGGATGTGGCGAGGGAGATCAGCAGACGTGTGTTATTTTGTATGTGGCGACAGGTGCCTGGCAGGAGGAGAGTCCCCGAGAGTGAGAGAGGGGTGAGGAGAGGGTGAGGAGACGGTAAGGAGTGGGGAAAGGAGAGGGAGAGGAGAGGGGTGAGGAGAGAGAGGGTGAGGAGAGGGTGAGGAGAGGGTGAGGGGAGGGGTGAGGAGAAGGGTGAGGAGAGGGTAAGGAGAGGGTGAGGAGAGAGTCAGGAGAGGGGTGAGGAGAGGAGAGGGAGAGGAGAAGGGTGAGGAGAGGGGTAAGGAGAGGGTGAGGAGAGGGGTAAGGAGAGGGATGAGTAGGGGACAGGGGTAAAGAGAGGTGAAGTGAGGAGAGGGGTAAGGAGCGGGATGAGGAGAGGAGAGGGTGAGGTGAGGAGAGGGGTGAGGAGAGAGGTGAGGAGGGGTAAAGAGAAGGTGAGGAGAAGGGTGTGTAGAGGGTGAGGAGAAGACCTTCAGACAGGATGGAGAGGGCATGTGAGAGCCACTCCTCCATGTGTCTGGCTCAGAATGGATGAGAGGAGGAGAGACTTTGAAAAAGCCGTAGCTTGATCTTTGGACTTACACATTTCCACATGATTGATCATTACTTGAACACATTAACATTATTCTTCCTTCCTAAGTCAGTGAGTGAATTAAGTTTATTTGTTTAGCGCATTTCACAGACCAGGATCACCAGGAGGAACATTTGAAAACATACAGATAAAAATAACACACTTATGGCGACAGTGGCTCAGGTGGTAGAGCATTGGGATTTCAGCCTAAAGGGTGTGGGTTCGAGCCCATTGCGTGGCCTTCTCCACCGACATCATTCATGTCTGCTGTCTTAGGCTGTCTTGTGTCCTTGGGCAAGACACTTAACCCACTTTGCCTATAAGTGGCGTGAAAGTAATGTTCGCAGCATGCCTTGATGCGTATGTGTTGTATCTTACTGAAATGTCCCCACTGTGGGACAAATATAGAGCCTTCTTCTTATTAAAAAAACACTATGAATACAGAATATTGTGTGTCTGGGCATAAACCTAATCAAAAGTCCACACTATATTTTACTTTTGTTTTTTTAAATAATGAAAACATGTGCTGGTTTGTCGGAGACTAACTAAACTGTCATGGTTGTCATTTTTAGTTCCTGTTTATATTTATTATCTGTTCTGTGTCCTTTTGAGTTGTACTTCCTGTTGTGTTGTCTGCCCCGCCCTCATGTGTTACACCTCACACCTCACAGTTAAATTCCCGTATTCAATTATTATTTTTACAGTATTGTATTTTGGATCCTCGCTCCTTTCCACCATGTGACACTATCAACACTAATTTCATTTCATTGATTTTATTCATTTGATCAGGGACAACGCACCATAAACAATAGTCATATGAACAAAAAACACGTCATGTGCCTGGTTGTTAGTATAAATACTTGTTTTCTTTTGTTTTATTGTTTGAACTATTTGATTCTCTGATCTATGTTGGCAAATTCAACAATTATGTCGAGTTTCGAGAACTAAACTAAAGTCCTCCGAGATAACGACTGTTGTGATTTATGTCTATGCAAGATTACATTGAATTGAATTTAATAGAATTTTAGTGTATATTAAAACAAGGACTTTGTTGCATCAAGACAATATAACACACAACTATGCCTGATCATTTCACTGACCACTCAGCACAGGGCAAGTCAGTCCCAAATTCCCAGTACGCACATATCACAATGAACGGCCTGCTACATTTAGGCATCTTCTTACAGAGTTAAATTTACGTCCATGCCTCCTCTGGCCCATAACTCCGCTCTGTCCTCTCCATGAAGCCTAGTGGAGGTTACATGTTTTCCTGAGGTACCGCTGCAGAACGGCCTGAGCGGACAGGAATGATAGCCGGGCAGGTGGAGGTCTAGACCCCTAAACGTTATTTACGGTGCTGTGGGAACCCTCGAGACCCACGGCCGCGATACGGGACAGGAGGAAGGAGCAGGTCGTGTTACACCTGAAATTTAGTGATGTTTCAAAGAATAGACTCCCTTGTTGGATTGGCTTACCCATGTTTTGCAATGGAGTCGCCCCACTGGACCGGCCTGTGGAGGTGGATGGTAAAAACAGTGACGTTTGGTGAAATATTCTGTGCGAACAGGTCAGAGTATTCCAGCGACATCAACTTGAACCTTTGATAGCTAACTGTGAAAGATATTTGTCTGTCAGTATGTTTAGTCCATGAAAGTGAGATTTCAGTCCAAAGTGAAAGCAACAATATGAACTATGAACCCATACAAGACCTTTGTTATTGTTCAATTCACAAAGCCGATTATATATCTCTTAATTTCGAATGATGACATTGATTGATTGACATAATGATTGTACTGTCAAGGACTACAGATGAAAAGAAGCATGGAGCTAAATCCGGTGCACCCATATTTTTAATATAACTGCACAATGGTTCTTATTTATGAAACTTGCGCAGAAAAGGGTGTATATTTTGGGTGTATATTCTAAATACGCAAGATCCGTCGTGGGATTTATGAACGTGTGAGATCCGCCCAGATCTGAGCGTAGGCACCTGCAGCTGTTGATGAATGCGGCGGCTGAAAACGAGTGTATTTATTAAAGTCACGCCCATAAATATTCAGAGAGTGCCTGCTTCACGCCCAGTTTTTGCGACAATTGAGAGGAAGACCGGCCTAGAAAAAAAACTTCACGAAGCAGGAGATTGTACAACAAAGCATCAGGGTCACCCGAGTTTTTGTCCAGATACTATTACACTTACTGGGACAATTAAAGGCATTATTTTCTGAACCGGAACTGACTCTGAGCTGGGAATGAGGACATTTAAGGACATTTTTAAGGACATTGGTCATCCCTCTCTCTATGTGTTTGTTATTATAGCATTTCCTGTGTTGGAACTGTTTGATTCTTTAATGTGTTGTTTCGCCATAGACAAATTTGCTTAGTCCTCCGAGACGACTGCTGTTGTGATTTAGTGACGTACAAAAATTGGAGGAACATTGAAGAATAAAGTACACATTTGGGTGTACAATCTGAGTGAGGGTTAATTACATGGCGGTCGGTTCCCTTCACCACTAAGAACGGCTGTGATGAGGAAATTACAGCGTTCAGACTCTGATTTACAAGCTAAAGTCTTCACCTGTTTGTTTGATTGATGTGGGGGTAGAAATTTCCCTGGTGGGTGAATTTTCTCTGAAGTTACTAAAGAGGAGGACAGATGAAATGTGATGTGTTTTGACAATGTGTGTGTGTGTGTGTGTGTGTGTGTGTGTGTGTGTGTGTATGATTACAGCTCCTCTTATGATAACCTTTCTCAAAGATAATGGGATCCTCCAAATGAGCTCTGGAGTTGTTTGTGCATTAGTTGAACACATTCCCAAATGCAAAACAAATGTATGTTTTGGCTGTCACCATTGCAACCACTATTGGAGTGGCACGCAAGGTTCAATTTACCAATGATTTATTTTGATGATCAAGTTTTTTTTTTAATTTACAATGTTCCAATATATACCACACGTTGAATGGGCATGCTATCAGAATGATTTTCACAACCACGAATGAGTCATTTACACCACAGAAAGGTCTTAACCCAGACATGTCCAAACTACAGAGCCTTAGTGGGACTTCATCATGCTGTTTGGTGAACAATAGTATCTTGACAAACCTCTGAGGACAAACCTCTGAGGACAAACCTCTGAGGACAAACCTCTGAGGACAAACCTAACCTAACAAACCAAACCAGACATCTGTATCTTCCTGTATATTGAGATTGAATTTCACTCTGGTGGATACTATGAAGTTCCATTATAATTAGGTAACTTCTACATTAACCAATCTTTGTGTACACCAGTTTTAAAAAATGTGTAGTAAAATGTATGTACAGTGCCTTGCGAAAGTATTCGGCCCCCTTGAACCTTTCAACATTTCGCCACATTTCAGGCTTCAAACATAAAGATATAAAATTTAAATTTTTTGTCATGAATCAACAACAAGTGGGACACAATTGTGAAGTGGAACGAAATTTATTGGATAATTTAAACTTTTTTAACAAATAAAAAACTGAAAAGTGGGGCGTGCAATATTATTCGGCCCCTTTACTTTCAGTGCAGCAAACTCAGTCCAGAAGTTCAGTGAGGATCTTTGAATGATCCAATGTTGTCCTAAATGACTGATGATGATAAATAGAATGCACCTGTGTGTAATCAAGTCTCCGTATAAATGCACCTGCTCTTTGATAGTCTCAGGGTTCTGTTTAAAGCGCAGAGAGAACCATGAAGACAAAGGAACACACCAGGCAGGTCCGAGATACTGTTGTGGAGAAGTTTAAAGCCGGATTTGGATACAAAAAGATTTCCCAAGCTTTAAACATCTCAAGGAGCACTGTGCAAGCAATTATATTGAAATGGAAGGAGTATCAGACCACTGCAAATCTACCAAGACCCGTCCGTCCCTCCAAACTTTCATCTCAAACAAGGAGAAGACTGATCAGAGATGCAGCCAAGAGGCCCATGATCACTCTGGATGAACTGCAGATAACTACAGCTGAGGTGGGAGAGTCTGTCCATAGGACAACAATCAGTCGTGCACTGCACAAATCTGGCCTTTATGGAAGAGTGGCAAGAAGAAAGCCATTTCTCAAAGATATCCATAAAAAGTCTTGTTTAAAGTTGGCCACAAGCCACCTGGGAGACACACCAAACATGTGGAAGAAGGTGCTCTGGTCAGATGAAACCAAAATCAAACTTTTTGGCCACAATGCAAAACGATATGTTTGGCGTAAAAGCAACACAGCTCATCACCCTGAACACACCATCCCCACTGTCAAACATGGTGGTGGCAGCATCATGGTTTGGGCCTGCTTTTCTTCAGCAGGGACAGGGAAGATGGCTAAAATTGATGGGAAGATGGATGGAGCCAAATACAGGACCATTCTGGAAGAAAACCTGTTGGAGTCTGCAAAAGACCTGAGACTGGGACGGAGATTTATCTTCCAACAGGACAATGATCCAAAACATAAAGCCAAATCTACAATGGAATGGTTCACAAATAGACGTATCCAGGTGTTAGAATGACCAAGTCAAAGTCCAGACCTGAATCCAATCAAGAATCTGTGGAAAGAGCTGAAGACTGCTGTTCACAAACGCTCTCCATCCAACCTCACTTAGCTCGAGCTGTTTTGCAAGGAAGAATGGGCAAGAATTCCAGTCTCTCGATGTGCAAAACTGATAGAGACATACCCCAAGTGACTTGCAGCTGTAATTGCAGCAAAAGGTGGCGCTACAAAGTATTAGCGCAAGGGGGCCGAATAATATTGCACGCCCCGTTTTTCAGTTTTTTATTTGTTAAAAAAGTTTAAATTATTCAAAAAATGTTGTTCCACTTCACGATTGTTTCCCACTTGTTGTTAATTCTTGACAAAAAATGTATTTTTTACATCTTTATGTTTGAAGCCTGAAATGTGGCGAAATGTTGAAAGGTTCAAGGGGGCCGAATACTTTCGCAAGGC